CTTATCAGTATTCCGCTGTGGGTCTTCTTTCAGTGCTTTTATTCAGGTTTTCTGATCCTGCTGCCAATGTTTTTTGAAGGGTCTTTTGGAATGTCCCAGAGCCACGTTAAAAAAAAAAAATGTGCTGGGGCTTGCCGCCCCCCAACAACTTTGGGTTGTCTACAGGTGTCTCCCCTTTCATCGACCTTGGCAGGCAGCACTACAACACTGAAACGTGTGGTCCTTCCCACTTCCTCTGTATCTCCCAGTGAGTGATGCTCCTGCCTGTCCCCCATCCCCTGTTTCTCTTCCCCTCTCGCCCCCCATATACTTGTCTCTCTGCCTGGCTGCTCTTGCTGCAGGAGTTGGCTTTGAGACAGAAGATCGCTACTATCTCACCCAGGCCAGGATTCTGGGTCCTGTGAAGGGAGCTGGGCAGAGGATCTCTCCTGCTCCTACTGTTGCACTTGGCCTCTGGGATTCTTTGCCCCATATAGGGGTCTCACATTCCATGGCCCTGTAGGGGCTCTCTCAGATGTGTTCCTTCTCTCCCCAAGCCACTTGTTCATTTGGTCTGGTGCTCGGGAAGAAAAGATGCCCTCATAGGCAAAATTTTGATGCTACAGAAGCTCTGTTGTTACAGGTAAATACTAATCAAAGTTTTAGGAAGAGTGTGTACATGAGTAGTGCATGGGTGCTGTTTTCAGCTAGTGCGTGAGACAGGAAGTGACCATTAGCAAAACAGCAGAACTATCTATACACAAAGTGCTGTCAAATGCACAAAATAAACAAACTAGAGGAAAGTTAGGGAAATCTCTCTTCTGCTTACTTTTCAGATTTACTAAATGTTACTTAGTGACCTATAATAGGTACAAAATTTTTAGACAGAAATGGGATGTTTTTGTTTTTGTTTTTAATGTTACCAAGGTCATTTTTAAGACTGAAGCCATTGGCAGCATTCTAAAGGAGTGCTCTTTTTAGTAAAGCCAGCAGGTTAGCTCAGACTCTGTGTTTAGGGCATTCTTGAAATTCAGATTGTTCCAAAGACAGTAACTGGTTTCTTCGAGATGTTGCATTATTGTATGAGCTCTGTCTCTTTTTAAGAGCGTTGATATAGGAGCAGGTTACTTGGAGAA